CCCGGGTTGTCGTAGAAAACGTAATTTTGGGTTCTTTACTTTCACAAAGCATAAATCTTATGGAATTATGGTCAAAAGAGTCACCTTTATATGCTCATTTTTGCGTATGCACATGGGGAGATCCCCTGCCTGTGTTCAGAGTCTGTGCTTAGAAACTGAAATGGTGCCAACTTTGGGCTGAGTTTTTTTTCACACTTCTTTTGGCATTCTTGAATTTCTTCTCCTAAAAAGCCAATCTTGATATAGTTTCTTGTGCACAGAGCCTGTGATGATAATAAATGGTTTCTGATTCTTCTGCTTCTTTAGTTGTGCATTTATTTCTACTACTAATGGATGACTTTTGCTATAATGGCATTAATATTTCTGATTTGCAGAGATGAATTTTGAAAGGTTTAGCACTAGTAAATTGCCTTCATTGGTTAGACACAAGCGTTCCAAGAGGTAGGCTTGTTTTTCAGTAAATTTCATTTTTTGTAAAATTTAGGATGCTGCAGCTAATGGGTTTCTTCAACTGGAAAGACTTCTGTTTAGGGTAAAAGGGAAAATGGAGATGAAAGTTTCAGAGCTAAGCATAACATTGTTTTCTGGAATTAGAAGAAAATAGTGATAGCTGCATTTGGGCTTTATGCCTTTGGTTTTCTTATTTTTGAGAGCCATAAATCTTGGTTATACTGATTTGGACCCCTCATCCTAGCAATCCTTTGAAGGGTTTGTGGAAAAATGAGTAGAGAGAAGAGTGTGTGTGAGCTGTGCAAAATCAGGAATCTAAGCATTCTGGTTTACATACTTTTCTTTTCTTTGCTTATTTTCCAATTTTAACTTGGTTCTGTTAATTTGGTTTTATTTGATGAATACTCTTTCAGATTCTAGCTAGGAAATCATGTTTGTTTATGGAATACTTACATTTCGTGAGTAACGGAAGGTCAATAGAGTTTGATTTATTTTGTTCTTCATTTCTTGTGGATAACGATATCCAAGATAAATGCTAGTGTTGTGTGGCAAGAGATGAATTGAGTTGGCAAATATCTTATGTCGAATTTAAAAATTCCTCAATGAATTTTGTTTTTGTAATGACAGCTCCCCAAATGGCAGGGGACTTAAGGAGGACAAATTGGATCATTCTACAGAAGAAGCTCTTCAACAGAAATTGGTAAAGTTGCCCTATTATGCCCATCTTCTTTTGTGAGTAAAGCAACAATTGTTACAGAGTAACTTCTCTAGATCCTTAGGTAGATGCTTTTCCTCTTGATTTAACACTGTGATATAATACAGGCTATAATACAAAGAAATCCCCTTTTCTCAGTCTCTTTTCAGTTCTTATGTCACTGATTGCTACCTCAAAAGGGTTGTGTTGATAGAAATCAAACTTTCATACCAAATTTTGTGACGAATATTGATCTCTTTTATACCAGGATATGGGGTACTTGGGTAATTGTGCCAACAGCAAGAAGGAACAACAATCTAATGCTGAAATTCAAAATTCTTTGAGGCAAGAGGTAAGGAATAATTTGATTTAATAAGCTCCTATAAAGTTCAATATTTGCACCTAAGCTGAAAATATATCAAACTGTATATCCAAGAGTTGATGACGTGAAAGATTTAAGAAGATCCATTTCCCTGACAGAAGGTTATTAAGTTGCTCAGTGTTAATTCTTTCCATGAAGTTTTTCTTTTTCCATCCAGATACTGCATCTTGAAAAAAGATTACAAGACCAAGTTTCCGTTCGCTGTGCTTTGGAAAAAGCATTGGGTTACAGGGTATCATGCCATGATATAACAAATGAAATCGCAATGCCTAAGGTAGCAATCTTTAGCCTTTATATGATGAAAATTTATTAGTACGTTTTTCCTTTTTCTTTGTCCAGGAGGTCATTCATTATGAATGTTTATTTTTTTCGTGGAAATGATGGTTTAAATGCTTAAAAATTGGTAATTCATTTTTATTGAACAAGTTCCAGTGAACTTTCCATGAACTTTGCATTCCATGTTTTGTACCCTATCGCTACATCCAAATCCTGGAGGTGCATGTGTATGAGAATCTGGTTTTGTTATAACTGCGTTGTTTGTTTACTTTTTTATTGACAACCATATATTTGTGGTTTACTAAAAATATTCTCGGATTGATTCCAGCCCGCAACAGAACTCATTAAGGAAATTGCAGTGCTAGAAGTGGAAGTTGGACATTTGGAACAGTATCTGCTTTCACTGTACAGGAAAGCATTTGATCAACAAATGTCTTCCTTATCTCCAACTAAGAAGAACGATGCATTGAAATCACCCTTAGCAACTCCAATGAGAAGGCGCTTTGATTTTTCCAGATCGGATTTGACGTCTGCTAGGGAAAAATTGGCACATGCTCGTTCCAATTCATGGAAGGAAGGCAATAGTCAATACGAGGAGAAGCTCGTGGATTCTGCTGTTCAACGCTCTCACTCTTCACTATCTCAGCGTACAACAATGTCAAACAGAACTTCTCCTCCTGCTGATGCCTTGTGCAAAGCTGTGCGCGCATGTCATTCTCAACCATTATCTCTGATGGAGGTCTCTCAACTTTTATCCCATTTTCTTCAGAATTCTAATTTTCTTATCATTTTTAATTTTATTTAGAAACTTATCAAACTTCTATTGTTGGTCTTCCTACAGTATGCACAGAATACCTCTTCAAATGTGATTACTCTGGCAGATCATCTTGGTACACGTATTTCTGATCACATTTCAGGGACACCGAACAGGCTTTCTGAAGATATGATCAAGTGCATGTCCACTATATATTGCAAGCTTGCCGATCCATCATTGACAAATCAATGCCTCACATCACCCACTTCATCTTTGTCATCTATCAGTGCATTTTCTCCAAAAGATCAACGTGACTTGTGGAGTCCTGGATTCAGAAATGATTCTTCTTTTGATGTTCGGCTGGATAATCCTTTTCATGTGGAAGGACTGAAAGATTTTAGTGGACCTTACAGCACAATGGTTGAAGTACAATGCATATACAGAGATAGTCAGAAATTGGGTGATGTTGAACCCTTGTTACAGAACTTTAGGTGAGGATGCTTGTATGACGAGTTTATAAATAAATTTATTTTATATAATCCAAACAGGATGAACAGTAATCAATTTAATACTTGTTAGATCACTTATTTCTCGTTTGGAAGTCATAGACCCTAGAAAGATGTCACATGAGGAGAAGTTAGCATTCTGGATCAATGTTCACAATGCTTTGGTGATGCACGTAAGGATCCAAATCAACAAAATTATGAGATGTTGATGTTGTCAATCCTTCTCAAGTTTGGGCTAACTTTATAGATATTTATATTAACAGGCATTTTTGGCTTATGGCATCCCACAAAACAATATGAAGCGAATGTTACTACTCTTGAAGGTAATAGCTGATTAACTGTTATCCACAACACTTGGTCTAAATCTGTTCTAACACTTCCCTCTATTCTAGGCTGCCTATAATGTTGGAGGTCAAATTGTAAGTGCAGATGTTATACATAATTCTATTTTGGGATGCCGAATGTCTCGCCCTGGACAGGTAAATCAAGCAGCCCATGTTTTGTAGAAGGTTATTATAACCTCGTTTTTTACTATTAATTTAAGAATAATGCTGTCGGTACATAATGGAGTTGCATAATAATTTACATACAACAAAGGTGTCAAAAAGAGAGTGAGGAAGGTTTTTTTTAAAGAAATTTTGACACAATCATATCTCATCACTACATCATGTATTTTGTAAACAATTATGTAAATCATTATATACGTGTAGCACAACTATTAATTTAATCTATTGTGATTTCACGTTTAGCAATTCTACATACGAGCACTTGAGCCAAAACAATAACAATTGTCACGAACACTTCCCAACTGATGCCTAAAAGGACTTCACCCCCTTCCCCTTTCCTTTTTTGTCGAAATCAAGGTCTTTATGTTTTGATTCATTTTATAGTTTCTAGTTACTACATTGGTTGATTTATCTGTTTTCCACCATTAAATTGCTTACCTTGGCAGACTCGACTAGTTCACGTTACATGCTGATAAAATTAACTCTATATGCAGTGGCTTTGGTCACTACTTTCTTCAAGAACAAAATTCAAGGCTGGTGATGAACGACAAGCATATGCAATTGAACGTCCCGAACCCCTTCTGCACTTTGCACTTTCATCTGGGAGCCACTCAGACCCTGCGGTAGATATCCGTGCCCCTTTTCTTTAAATTTCTGCTTATGCTTTGCTTTTTAATTGCATTTTGATAATGAAACAGGGTTTGCTGTTTAAACATGTATTTGCCTTGATACAATGGTGATCATTATTTTTTTTCTTTTTTTAAAATTGTAATCGGGCTTACAAAATTGTGATATTGTATTCTCAGGTTCGCGTTTACACGCCTGATAGGGTATTCCAAGATCTAGATGCAGCAAAAGAAGATTACATTCGAGCTACTTTTGGTGTACGGAAGGACAAGAAAATCCTTTTACCAAAAATAGTTGAGTCATTCACGAAAGATTCAGGTTTATGTCAAGCTGGCGTGATGGAGATGATCCAACATTCATTACCTGAGTCCCTAAGAAAAAGCATTAAAAAACGTCAGCTGGGGAAGTCTCGCAAATATATCGAATGGATTCCCCATAATTTTGGTTTCAGGTATCTCATAATGAAAGAGCTGGTAAAGTGAATTTTATATGGGTTCATTGCATGTTGTTAAGCTCATTTGACTGGATTTTTCCCTTAAAAATGAATTTAATTTCGGTGTAATGATTTCTAGTTTCTTGCTCTTTTGTGTAAAGGAATAGAATTTGAGGATATGATTTGATGTTAGTTGGTTTTTGTACTTGCTATAGGATGTCTTGGAAAACAGGTTGGATATTGTATATAAGTCTCGTGCATATTTTCATTTTAATTAGCTCGAAAAATAATATTATTAATATTCACGCTCTTAGAAAGTCACAATTTTGGTAAATGCGGCGGAGGCTTTATTAATCTCATCTGGAAACACCAATATTTTCCAGTTTCACCGGCATTTATCACCACTCTTAGTTAATGCCGAGCAGTGGTGGCCCTGAGTATAGGAGAAATAGGCGATCGCCCAAGGTGGTCTCACTTTGGTGAGGGCCCCAAATTAAATAAAGTTAATTGGTTGGTTGAAAAAAAAAAAATATATTTATGAAATTCTGTAATATAGAAGTATTATATGCAAACATAAGAAACTAATAATGTATTTTGAAAAAAATGAAAATCATATTTTAGGGGTTGTTTGAGCCCCATTTTTCTTAAAAAAAAATGCATTTTGAGATAGTGTTACGATGGAGAATATATGATTAAAAAATAAGAAAAAACTTTGGATTTGTATTTAATATTATTTTATTGAAAAATGTATGGTTAAAATGGTGTCAAATCATTGTTGAAAAATATATTTTGATGGAAAAAATGAGGTTCAAACAATGGCTTAATCTTCATCAAAGAGGGGCTAAAGCTCTACACAAGAAGATCCAAAAGAGTTATTGGCATAAAACGTCCATATCTTTCAAGCTTATTGTGGAAAACGTCCATACCTTTCATTTTTTGATATTTTTGCCCTTATTTCAACATTTTGTTGCTCTCAATGTCCTTTTCATTGTTTTGGAACGTAAAATGACAATTATACTCTCTTAATTAAAAAAAAAAAAAAAAGAGAGAGAAATTCAGAACAAATTGCAACCCTATCCCTAAACTTTTAAAAAAGTGCAAGCGAGTCCCCAATACTCCCTCAACCCATCACAACTAAGATTTCGTAACCAGCACTTATGGACCACCAAAACTCCACCCTTCGGCCACCTTGGGCACGGGACCAACATACCATTTTGAAGCCCACACTTCTTTCTTCGTAACCCACCCAAGATCCGACCATAACTCCAATCAATTTGGTCAAAAATTCAAGTCAAAATAGGTTACCCATGCAATAAACAGTGGTCGGAATCTTCACTTCCGGCGACACCCATACCTTGCACAATCGCCACTTTGGCCGGACTAACATAACACCTTAAAGCCCTCACTTCCCTCTTCGCAACTCACCTAAGGTCTGGTCATAACTCCAATCAATTTGCCTAGAAATTCAAGCCAAAATGAATTGCTCACGCAATAAACAATGGCTGGAATCTTCACTTCCAGCAATACCATGTCCTACACAACCTCCATATCAATTCTACACACTAAAACGTCCTTGTCCATGATCCCAAACATCCTTTAATGCATACAATGAAACCCAGCCAGCTAAGCTTCGTACACAATCGCTGTGCAGCTTTCAGGCAATTTTCAAGATGGTATGTTGGTCCCGTGCCCAAGGTGGCTGGAGGGTGGAGTTTTGGTAGTCCATAAGTGTTGGTTACGAAATCTTAGTTGTGATGGGTTGAGGGAGTATTGGGGACTCGCTTGCACTTTTTTAAAAGTTTAGGGGTAGGGTTGCAATTTGTTCTGAATTTCTCTCTTTTTTTTTAATTTTTTAATTTTATTAAATAAGAGGGTATAATTGTCCTTTTACGTTCCAAAACAGTGAAAAGGACCTTCGACGCAACGAAATGTTGAAGTAAGGGCAAAAATGCCAAAAAAATGAAAGATACGGACGTTTTTCACAATAAGCTTGAAATGTAGAGACGTTTTGTGCCAATTACCCAAATTCAAAATATAGGGCCATAATTTGAAATGCCAACCAAAATATTAGGGCCGGCCCTGATGCAGAGGAGGTTTTGACGGCCAATGCTGCCATTTCCTCCGCCTTCAATCGGTGCATCAAGTGGCTCAATGGCAGCCCAAAATACAGCTAACCCAGCTGAAGCATCGCGTCATGACTTACAGTCGACACGAAGTCATCAAAATCCATTTCATCAGTATTACAAATGAAACATGTTTGGTTGTTTTGCAAAACACATGAACCCTCAACTGGATATGAAAATTTCCTATAATCTCCCATCATCGAAGATTGTTTTAACAAAATAAAATTTTTCGTAATTTAATTATTAACCATCTCAAACATATTCTACATTATTTTTATCGCACAAAACTTCTATATTTTAAGTAAAAACGTTCATGCCTTGGAGGAGTCTTTACATGAATAGAGAAGATTATTTAGGGACGTTTGAATGCTTTGAGAAAAATTTACCTATGTCAGACGAATCTGCAGCAACAATTCTAAAGTCTTTTGACCATCTTTAGTGAGTTCTAATCGACTGATGTTCCATTGAAATATCTCAAAGCAAAAATTGTATTTTTCAACCGTAATTGAAGAAAACACACGAGCGTGAATGGTATAATTCTACTAAAAAATCAAGCTGCTTGACATGAGTTAAGATTTACGAATCTTAATCTAAATAGTGGTTGCGACCGAACGCAATAGTGAATTAATGATAAAATCAAGATCGGAACTTTTGATTTCACTTCTTCAACAAGTTAAAAGAAATAAGAAAATGAGGCAGTTGATCTTTATTTACTTTTGATTGTTTTAATTAATTTTATGAAATTGCTAAATTGAAACTATGTATTTTTGAATTTTTGATAATGGATTATTTTACCCATGACATGGTGGCCGTAAATGTTTTCCTTAGAGGTTTACCATGTTATATTTGGTATTAATATTTATTTAATTCCGCAATATATTATATCTTGTAGATTACAAATCTATTAAGCTGTCCCAATCAAAATTGTGCATAAAATTACCTGTAAGAAGTTCTGACTGATTAACATATTCTGGCCGAAACGAATAATTGAGACAAATTATTTAATTAACTAGGTTTTAGTATTTACTACTTATGTCAACAGAATTAAATTATGAAAGCGCCTATAACCGAACACTCAAGGAAGGAATTTTCTTTGGTAATCTGAAAAAATGCAACCAACCATTCACATTTGATGGATAAAAGCCATACATGGACCTCTCGTATCCTATAGGCACACAGTTACGAAATTGCAAAGGCTTTTCTCAAGAGCAAGATCATTCACTGGTTTCATCCCGTCTTACTGTCAAAAGCATAAAAATGTAAGCTCTGAGATTAACGTCAATACCGGACAATGTTTGGAACCATGCAGGGGCGGATGGGGGGTTTTACAGGGTCAATTGACCCTCTAGATTTTGGAGAAAAACAAAAAATTTGTTTAGCCTTTTTTTTTTTTTTAATTAGAAGATACCTATAATTTTTATTTCTAATCCCCTAAACCAAGTCGTCTGGTTCCGCCTCTGACCATGCTAGTTGTACAATCAAGTTTGACAACTTAGCTGCCAAAGCAGTGAAGCCAATGTTTGAGCTGCCAAAGCAGTGTAGCCAACCATAGGGCGGTTTGCAAAAATGTGAAATTAACTCAATTGCATGTTTTGTAGGAACAGCAAGCACGCTTTCTGCAAGTTAATGACTGAAGCAATCCATTACCTCAAAGCCTTGGTCTATGAAATTGACGGTAAATGAAGTGATCAAAATAGAAGAACTTTCCTCAAGCTAAGTCTCTAATTCCATCTTCTTTATCGGACGCCTTGAACTTCAGTTTCATCCAATTCAAGGACTTATAAAACTGTGTTTCATAGTATCACTAGTATCTGAGTTAGGGATTAATTGGACTAAGAAGGGATCCCACTTCTGATGATGTAGAACCATATGATTCAGCGCGAAAGGTTTTCTCTTAAGGTTGGAAAAGATCAAGCTACAGAGTCCCATTGCCACACTACTTAAAAGTTTCTGCCGTAAAACTTGAAGTAGCATTAGGGAAGTCACTTCAAATATGTGAGATTTATCTTGGGTTTTCTTACAAAGAATGTACAACCACACTAGGCATAGATGTACCTTCATTTTCTTCAAAGCTCCAAATTTCCTTGGCCTCTAAGAATTCCCTCGTAAGACTGCATCGAGACTTTAATTGGTCTGTCAACTGATTGAGCACGGTGTAAATTACATCAGAAGCTTCACGTCTCTTGTCTTCAACCATGAAGTCAGAAATGCTGCCTCCAATTTCAATAGAGCTAACTGCATCACTCTTTCTGACACCATGATCCTTCATTAGTTTCCTCGTCTTTTTCATGTCTTCCCATCTTCCAGCTTCACAGAATATGTTTGACATGAGCACATACAGCCCTCCACTATATGTTTCCAACTCCAGTAGCTGCTTTAAGACGAGTTTTGCTATTTCCACATTTCTATGAGTTCTACAAGCACCGAGCAAAGTACCCCAGATAACTATGTCTGGCTTCATTGGCATTTTTCCAACCAGCTGAAGCGCCTCTTCCAAAAGCCCTCCACGACCGAGAATATCAACCATGCAGGCATAGTGCTCAGTATCATGGGGTATTTTGTAAATGTGAATCATTTTGTGGAAAAAGAATCTTCCAACATCAATGAAACCACCATGACAACAAGCCGAAAGCAAGCCAGTGAAGGTGATTGCATCAGGATGTACCCCTTCAGCTTCCATCTCTTCGAAAAGTTCAATGGCTTTAAATCCACAACCATGCAATGCGAGGGCACTAATTATAGTATTCCACGTGACAATATTCTTCTCCGGCATCTCAAGGAAGACATCTAGTGCCTTCTCCGTGGAACCACATTTTGCATACATGTCTATAAGTGCATTGTACAAAGTAACAGTAGGTTTCATAATATTATCATGGACATAGCTATGGAATTTCCATCCTGTCGCTAAATCACCAAGTTGACTACAGGCTGAAAGAACACTAATTATAGTAGTTTCATCAGGAAGCGTTCCAGAATTACACATTTTGGAAAAAACATCCGGAGCTTCTCTATAGTAACCATTATGGAGAAAACAGGAAATCATAGAATTCCAAGAAACCACATTTTTCACAGGCATTTGATCAAAAACATTCTTAGCTAATTCCACGAATCCGTGTTTGGCATATGCACTAATCATGGAAGTCCAGGAAACGACATTTTTATCAATAATTCGATTGAAAACAGCTCCAGCTGTCTGCAAATGTCCACACTTGGCATACATGTCCAGAAGTGCATTGTGCACATAAACATCAAAATGAACCCCAGTAATTTCCATATACCAATGAAGAAACCTCCCTAACTTGAGATCATAGTTTCCCGAACAAACTGAGAGCAAACTAACTAAGGTACGGTCATCCGGTTCGAACCCTCCTTCTCTCATCTCACAGAACAGTAACAAAGCTTGTTTCCAACAACCCATCTTTGAATACCCATGGATCAATGAGTTCCAGGAAACTATAGTCCTATCCTCAACACCATCAAAGATTTTTTGGGCACAATCAACCATTCCACAGCCAACATAAAAATTTATAAGCCCATTCTGCACGCAAATATGAGACTCAAAAAACCCCAACTTCATCACATGAACAAGAACTAAAACCCCTTCTCGGTACGCCTGAAGAGTCGCGCACGCTTTGAGTATAAAAGGGAAAGTAAATTCGTTTGGGAAAATACCAGAACAAACCATTTGTTGGTAAAGCAAGATAGCATTTTCTGGGTGTTCACCATTCGCATAGGCCCTAATTAAGGTGTTATACATGTGCCGATTCGGTTCAGGAGTTTTGTCAAACAGGAAGCGTGCATATTGTAGGTCACCTGATGGAGCAAGGGCAGAGAAGGAAATGAGTTTGCTGACAGTTAGAGCGCAGTTATTGAGGCCCTGGAGGATGATTTGGGCGTGGAGGATTTTGAGATGGCTCATTGATAAGCATTTCTTAACTAGGGAATTGAGAGTTTGGGGTAAACAAGAAGAGTTGGAATTGTAGGTGAAGGTACGTAGGATGTAGAGATTGGAGCTAATACATTGATGGCGGGAACGAAAGATCAGATATCTGGGAAATTTGAGCATATGATTTTTGGTTACTTGACACACAGAAATGGTGCAGTTTTCTAGTTCTTAAATTTTAACCATTATCGCACGACCATTTCATTTTATTATCACTCAAGGACATGCCAAATTGGTCAGAGCATCCATAAAATTAGGGAACCGAATACACTCGACAGTCACATAGCATAAGCTTTGTATTTTACTTGACAAAGTTAGATTTGATAAGAAATTTCTTTCGGTTCGATCAATAAAGATAGATGCATCTCTTTGAGTTGCTTTGTCTGGGATTAATGGTTTTATGTAGCTAGCTGTCCATTACATCATCTAAATAACGATATTTTTATGTCATAGATAGAACTAAAATGTCCTTACGAGCTAATAAAGAGGGCTGTTTTTCCTACAAACTAAAGATTTTTCAAGTGATTCAGTCCAAATATATATATATACACTTAAGTTTCAAAGAAATGAAACGGGACAACATTTTGACTTGATTCCAAATTTTTGCATACCGCTTTTTGATCTTATATTTATAGGAAAAATGGTTGGTATGGTTGCGAGGAAAGGGGGTCTTGCCTTTGGGATGATCACTGGGAATCCTCATCGATCATAGTAATATGTCAGATCTCTTAAAATTCAGATGCACCATACCATATCAATTGAAACCAAGTTCTAGTACGTATGACATGTCGGAAACTAGTTCAAAAGAATTTATCCAAAATCTTTTTTTACTAGAATGCATACTTTTATTATAGATAGATTTCACGAGGGAATTCAATATATGTACACTTAGAAGACTACAATGAACAAGTTTCTCCATTGAAAGCAGATATCCAAACTCTAAATTCTTAACAACAAAACTTTCTTGGAGAAACCCAGTTAATTTTTATCTCGACAGGCACATCCGATGTCGTCGAAAATTAAATATATAGACGAGCTATGAAGTAGGAAGAAGCCACAGGTTGAAGAGGGAGGAGGCTAATGACAGAAACCAAGACAAGAAGGCCATCGCTGCTGACAGTTGATATCGCGTGCATAATTTTGTAGAACAGAATGAACCATCAGACTTCATCAAAAGATTAGACACGCTAGCTGTTGAACTTGAAGCTGCTAATGACAGAAATGACAGAACCTGTGAATGCAGACAAGGACAACGTTTTCAATTTTCTACCATGATAGATATTTCGGGGTGACAACAATCATAGACAAATTTAAGAAATAGGCAATATACCCAATCTCCTATGATAATTATTGAAAGCAATCCGGGTTGAAGAGTAGGACGTTTGACGAAAACAGAGAATGCATCTGCCACGGCCAATGTCAAGCTCCACGGAATCACTAAACCCATGATTGTCACCAGAAAGCTGAAAGTAGAAAGAAAGACAACTAACAATTGAATAAAAAAGAACAAGTATAAAGAATCTTAAAACCCCTTCAAGAAATCAAGAATCATGGTAAATATAATAAAAAAAAAAAACTCATGAAAAATAAATCAATTGAAAAAATTAAAGAATTACCAGAACGCAGTGTAACTGTAGAACTGAATATCAAAACACATGAAGAGCAGCGAAGCACCAGCAAAAATGGCCTGTCCGAATCTTAAAGCCAAGCTAGCACGTGTTCCCAGAGCCCCTGGAAATTCATCCATAGAATTCTCTGTTTATTGAAATTATTGTACAGATATATGATATATCTGTCTATGGTGATCACAGATGTTCTTCTTCGTAGCCATTTAATTCTCTGTACAGGGCATGCCACTCCAGAAATCAAAAGGAAATAGAGAAAGCAAATTGAATTAAATTTCTTGGGAAGAAATGAATCACGTAATAGGTTTTTTTTCTTGGAATTTGATAGGGGAAAGGTAAGATGGTTTGTTTGAACGGAGAAAATGAAGAGGACTTTTCTTCTTAATCAAAATCAATTCTTTCCTTCTCATTTATTTATTTTTTCCTGGGCTGCTTTGTGGACTATTTAATTATCATAATCAGATTCTTAAATCAGCGGGATATACTGTTGTTTCAATAAAATTAATAATGAATCGATGTAGTAGAGAAAAACATTTCATTACCTCTAATTAAAATTCGTTGGATAGGGAAATTAAAAATGGGATTCTCGATAATAGTTTGGAGTATTGAAATTTTAATAATCCAACAAGAAGTTTCATAAAATGTCATGTTCCATATAGTGATATAAAGGGGAGGACGGATAGGGCTCAGCGCGGCAGTGTGCAGAGTTCGATTCCCCGCAAAGTGAAATTGACTTTGTTGCAAGCGGAGTTACCATATGGGTTAACAGCCTTGACCTATCCATATGCTTTCCACCCTGGCTCCTGGGAGGCACATCCTGCGATTTACCTCCTTCACGATGACTCAGTGCAGGGTCGGTGGGACTTTTAAGATTGGGGTTCAACCTTTTTTATATAAATATTTACTTCCCCTGGTGTGACCAGTTTGACTTTTCACAAAAGAATATAACTAGTTGAAAATTGGTAAAAAATGACCATGGCATTTATGATTAATCATTTTGATGGCATCAAAACAAAAAGAAAACAGTTTGTAATGATTCTTGATGGCAAGAAATGACATGTACTTTTTAATCAACCTAAAGAGATTTGAAAAATAATTAAAAACATTGTATTACTAAAATATTGACGATCATATAGAGAGAATTTTCATTTCGGACCTTCCTCATTCATTATTCATCCCTTTATATAGGTTGATGGTTCGAGTTTGCCATCTTAATCATGTTTAGGACTGTCAATGAATCGAATATTGAGCGGATCTGTCAAAATTCGATCCGATCCGTTAAGAAATCCAATATGATCCGATAATTCAATGAATATTTGATTGTTAAATCTATATCCGATTTGCTATGTTATCGGATGTTCGATCCGAATTTTTTTCCACCAATTTTTCCAAAAAAAAATATTTTAACTATTTTGATGGGCTCATCTAATATACTAGAAGGCCCAAATCAATTTTTTATCCAAGTGATGCTTCTTTAGTTCCTTTTAAAGAAATTTCTCTTGGAATGTTTTAATAATCTTCCTATGTGTGATACTACATTTTTAAAGGGTACTTCTCTTCTAATGTTTTAGTGGTCTTTCAATGTGGGATACTATTCAATTGTCAATTCTAAGTGTTTACTAGTTTATTTTATTATTTTCACTAAAAATCATAGCCTTAACAAAATTAAAATAAAAACAATATCAATTTTAACAAAGTAAATAATTTTTGGACATATTAATTATTAGTTTTTGATGTTATAAAATAAATTACTATAGTTATTTTTATCTTATTTTAATTAATAAAAAATTATACCTCTTTGAATATTTCAAGTAAAAATATTATACTATTATCTAATATTATTTATTATTTGAAAATTAAGCGTAAAGCATAATATAAGTTTCAAAATAGAAAAAATTATGTTTAATAAATTATGATATAATATATATAATATATAATATTATTATAATAAATCGGATAGGATTGTTATCAAATCGGATCGACATATATTCATATTTACTCCATTTAGTTAACGGATTATCGAATTCGGATCTTAATCGGATTATCAAATTGCAACTTTAAATCTATCTCCCGTTAATTTCATTGGATTCGGATCGAATTCGGATCAAAATTCAATCAATTGACAGCTCTAATCATGTTCAAGCTATACAGCTCTAATCTAGAGTTGTAAGCCACCACCCTTTTAAAGGAATTTAATTGGTTGGTGACTTCAATCGCATCGGGATCATCACAATACCTAAGTTTTTGGCCTATGTTCTAAGTCATCTCATCACGTCCCAGATTGGTTGGTTTGGACGGTGTTGCCACCAACGAGAACACTTCAAACATGACATGATTATATTTTTATAATGTCTTTCATAGTCCGATTCTCATCCGTACCAACAAGGCTCTGGGTCGAGGTGTCAAGTTGACTTATTTGGGCTCTTCGATACGAAAAGCTTTTTCGATCAAGTCAAGAAGTGTCCTCAACTGATCCCACATGAATTTCAGATTGGCACCAACAATGACAACTAGGAGTTGTTAAAAAAAGCTTGCAGTAAACACACATAGTCGATGTATATGTACTAATGTACCCGTCAACGCGTCAAAATTCAAAATAGCCAATTAATAATATTATTTTGTATTAGGTTTTGAAAAGGAGAATGTGAATCATTTGACTATGAAATGAAAGAGAATCCGAAGATATCCTCGTATGAATGGTTGGGAGTTGAAACAGAACACACTTTTTAGGTGCACCAAGGCCATCATGGGAAAATAATATGCTCTTCTAGCTGTCTTTCGATTGCCCGATTCCAAACGTTTGTGGACATTACTGTCACCTTTGTTTGCATTGCTTTTTAGGTCCCTATTTGTCTATTAAAAATTTATTCTTATTGAAAATTAATATACAAGGAAGAACGTTATACATTTTTAACAATATTTAATTGAATATAATCTTAAATAATTCAATTTCTGGTCAAAAGCCAAGTTTACCGGTAACCAATCCTTTTCATAATTCTAATCCACACCTCTAATCATTTTATAATTGGATCCACCACTTAAATAATAAATAAGTAATGTTTAGTCGATTATTAATAGTATTTTAAAATGCGAGCATATGCTTGGCACATGTTGGGCTGTGATGCCATTTGATCCAGTCCAACTGTTAGGCAATGATGAAAAGGCCCAAATTGGATTTATTACTTGGTCCATTAAATATATACCTAGAAGGCCCACTTAACCGAGCCCAATATTCAGCCCACACCATTAGTCGCTCTTGGACCGTTGGATTGACCCGCTGATCAACGGTTGATGATACTTACTATAAATAATATCCTTACTCCCTTGTTTGGCGTGTGGATCGTCATTTTCTGTTTTTCTCTTTCTCTCTGCCGTGTGGAACCTTCGAGTCCTCTCGTCTGTGTGACCCTTCCTTCTTCTCTTTGTGAGATTTCTGGTTGATTATCTTTGTGATAATCGTGTTCTTGTGTGATTCTCCTTTGTGTGAGTGATCGACCGAAGGTAGGCAGTTTGATTTCTTGAGTCCAATGAAGTGACCTTGGTGTGTTTGGGTTGTGAGGGTTCGGTTTGAGTCTCGGTGCCTCTGTGATGGTTTATGGGTGTGGTCTGAGCCTTCGATTGAAAGATCTAAGCCTTGATGTTGTGATTTAGGGTTTATGATGTAATTTTCGATCCTATGATTTCATCTATGTTTCTTTTGGATTCAGTGTATAATAGTGGTATCAGAGCATTAGGCTTTCGGTCGTGAGTCTTCGATTGAAGGTTGAACACTGGAAAATTAATTTCCAGGAGTTCGACCGGAGATCGCGAAACCCTAATTTTTGATCTTGTGTCAACTTTGTGGTCTGTGGTGTTGATTCGACTCAGGACTGTGGAATGCGAGGGAGTTTCTGTGATTCCTCGATGTGATTTGAAAAAGAATCACAATACTGAGATCCTGTGG